AGATCTAGATCTAGCCTACAAAATGAGCATTAAAAATTCACTAGTTATTAACAAGGGAAGGGGGGTTTCAGGGTGGCAAACAAAAACATGGAGGGGGGGGGGGGGGTTCAGGGGGGCATGCCCCCCTGAATTTGAACATAATTTGATGTTTTGCAATAAGCCTAGGTTTGATAGGCTATCTCTCCATATCGGCACACTCATCAAAAAGTAATCATTTAGAACCAGAAGTAATCGTTGGTGGGGTCAAAACTAGATCTAATATCCCCGAACGGGACCCAGATTCTTAAGTAATAATACCGAAAAGTGCAGCATTTCACCAGAAGTAACCCGTCACAAATGCCCCGCCACCACCGCCAATCGGTTGTAAACATGGGGCTTTGGTAGGGCGTTATATAATGTCTGCTGAGATTATTTTACGTGAAGCTACAGTGAGCACCTAGATCTAGCACGTCTCTGTGATTGGCCCAAATATAGATGACCCATTTCTGCCATCTGTTTTTTGTCGTCTTCCGGGGTTCCCCCAAGACTCAAAGTCTTCCCTCGCACTGTTGACTAGATCTTGCGGTGTTTGTTTTTTGGTATTAAATTTACATCTTTTATATTATATTTATATAACTATCTCAGTAATTCTTGTTCCATAAATTTACCTTGCCAAAGTTGTACACACATACACACACTCAAGTGCGTGCGCACACACACACACAAACACATACGCGTGCGCACACACACACTCACACATAAGGGCGTGCACACTGCCCAAGCAGTGGGCGATGAAACCTAGATCTAGTGATGTAGCCCATTGCGCACTAAACTGGCGAGGGAAGCCCTGGAAGACTACAAAAATAGATGGCGGAAATACGACGTCTATATTTGGGTCAATCACAGAGGTGTGCTAGGTGTTCGCTAAGCTTCTTGTGATTTAGAGATTATATAGAGACTCTATTACTGAAAAATGACCATTTACAGCTCAACAGATGATAAAAGACATAAAAATATATCTTTTCAACCATGCTATCTTTTCTCAAAGCTTAAAAAATGAGCCATTCAAAAATTATAAGTGATCAAACAATAATCAATTACAAAAAGAGAAAAGCGCTGTGAAATCAACTTGAGTGCATTAGCCATTAATTAGCATGGTGAAACAAGTGATAACAAAAGTTGTGCGTAGTTGCTCAGCTGGACCGCGCCTCACTTTATTGATCAGTACCTGGGTCAAGAGTTGCGCTACGAAGTCAAAATAACTTGCAAACTCATTGGTCACTATTAATAACTTTGATGGGCTATTTACTCTATGCCATTTACAATAAAAGGAACATTTAAATTTTCCATGTAGAAGGAAATGATGCCCTTTAGATAGGGCCTGCGCACTTCCTAGTCGAAGTAGGTTGGCCCTATATAATAATATTGGGCCCTCGTGTTTCCAGGATGGCCCGGCTCACGCCTTAAATAGAGCTGTCATGCTTCCAGGCTTTTAAAATTAATTTTTAAGTTGACACTGCTACTATTGTAAAGTTGAAGTGAAATTGTCCACTTTGGATGTCAACCTGACAGAAAGCAAGTGCACTTTGTCAAATTTGAGAAAATATCGAGCTGGTATTGTTTCAATTGCTTCAGAAAAGGCAGAGAGGCTGTACTGGCGCTATTTTTTATCGCATTAAGACAGTTGTGTGAGACTGCCATTGCTCATGACAAAGACCTCAATATCGTCTTTGTGGATCAGGAAAAGGCGTTCGACCGAGAATAAAGATGTCAACTTTGGGAAGTCTTACTACAGGAATATGGTGTAAGAGGACAATTGCTGGAAAACATCATGGCACTTTATAAAAACAGCCTGTGTGCAGTAAGATCAGCAGAGGAAGGAAAAAGTAAAAGTAGAAAGTCATTGTTTCTATGGTTCCAACTAACACGTCTCGTACTATCTCTGAACCCATAGTGATGTTAAATTAAAAGCATCTTAGAAGAAATGTCAGAGGAACTTGACCATGACTGCACATGCAAGAGATGGTGGATAGTTTCCAAAAGAGACTTGACATGACTTAAAAAGCTGAGAGCAATGAATCTGAGACAGAAAATCCATTACAATGATTTATATTACAACCATTTTGTATTGTCACAGTTACTTTCTTTGATATCTCTCTAGTTTTTCATTTTATTGGTTAACCCAAATAACTGATGTCTCAAACACATTTGTCAATCCCCCAACATTTTTTAGTTATCTGAACTGTATCCATGCTTAACAGCATGTTCTGTTGACTTAACAATTACTTTCGAAATTGTCTAAGACGACCGCCCATTGTTTAGGAGAAGAGTGGCCATCATAGACAGGTGGGTGTCTTACGCACTGTCGTTTTAATATAAAAAATGAAGTGGGGGAAATGGGAAGTGACTGAGAAAAGAAACTTGCTAGATCTCCTGCAGTATATTTAGCGCCCAGTGCCTACATTTTGAATTCGATCATTTATTCCCATCATAAGTCTCGCCACCCCACCAGGAGACAATGTGCTGATGTGGAGCCAGACCAAGGCCAACCTAAGTCACTAATTAGAACATTTGCTTCAACACCAAAGAGCCACCACAGTATGGCACAAAACATACACATGTGTATTACATATAATCAGCATCTGCTGAGGCCTATTATGATCATGCAGTTCAGTTTACCATGAGGAATGTTGTCTTATTTCATTTGTGTTTATTGCTACTTTTTTGTCTATTTTAGGATTCTGATACCAGTTGAACCAGTTTATTGCTGAGCATGTCTGCCCAAATGCCTGACTCAACTACTTAACAAATTTTTTTCTCTCTATACATTATAAAAGATCAGATTGTTGGATTTATTGTAACCCTGCTATAGCTGATTCCATTTAGATAATTAAAATAAAAATTGTTATCATTATCAGTGTTGCCCGCTGTAATGGGTCAAGGAGTGCTCAACATCAGGGTCTCTTGTGGTTGTAGGTCTGGTATGTTTTTCAGGACTCTCTGAATAGGAAAGAGCAAGCAGTGTTGATTGTGATGTATGTTTCCCAGGAAGTTGAGATTGTTTCAGAATGCTATCGAGTCTGCCTGGGTAATAATATAAGTTTGTAAAGCGCTTAGAGCTTGCTGTTGAACAGGAATTTGCGCTATACAAATGCTATCTATTCTTCTTATTATTATGTGTAAAGAGATTGTGGTTTGTACTGCAAACAACAGTTTCGCCTCACCCCCTCCTCTGTCTTTTTTTCCAGTCCCATTTACTTGGAGCCAGTCAATAGGAAAATCTGTGGCATATCTTTACATCATGTGTAGTGATAACAGAGAAGTATTTATAAACATTGTTTTCAACCTCTGGACAATACAATGTTGATACTTGCTTGTACTTACTTGATGGAATATCAGCATTCAGTAAACATTATATATTCTGCCTACATTATCGGCACCAGCACCATCATCATCAAGCACTTCATTGTTTACTTACCAGGGACATACCAAAAGTTTTTTACCTGACCATGAAGGATTAAAGGTATAAAGCTGAAATTTGGGATGAAAGCCAACAATCATCTTCTAGAATGCATGTAAATTTTGAGGAATTTCCGATTACTGGTTTTAACACCAGCACACTGTAAGTGAATGGGCGTATGTTGTTCACCTGCTTCAGCATAAAAATGGAGAAAATTGAGCGCAGGGCAGTAATGAAGTTTTTGTTCTTACAAGGCAAGCAACTGCGGAATATTTTTACGGAGATTCATGCCGTATATGGAACTGATTGCCCATCATACGCTATGTGATAACATTTTAGTGTAAAAGATCCAAATGCGGATTCATGGACATTGAAGATGACCTCCATGATGGTCACCCAGTGACAGCAACAACAGAAGAGAAAATGTTGAAAATTAAGATACTTTTGTTGTCTGATAGGCAGGTGACAGTCGAACAAGTGAGCAAAGAAACTAGGCTTTGCATTGGATCAGTTGAACGAATCTTAAATGAACATGTGAATATGACCAAGATTTCTGCAAGATGGGTCCCACGTTTGTTGACTCCTCCTCAAAAAGTGCAACATGTGGATTTTTCTCAAGAATTGCTTGGTCTGTATGAACCAAATTGTTTGAAGGACTTGTAACCGTGGATGAGATATGGATCCAGCACTACGATCCTGAGTCAAAATCTGCATCAATGCAGTGGAAATCGCACTCGTCTCTAACACCAATGAAAGCAATGGTGTAGCCATTAAGTGAAAAAGTGATGCAAACCGTTTTTGGGGGACCAAGAAGGAGTAATTGTGACAGACTATCTTGAAAATGAACATACAATCACCGGAGACTATTATTCCAAACATTTTTAAAAATTACGAGAGGCTATAAAAGAAAAATGGAAAGATCCGTAAAGGCAATATGCTGCTTCACGACAACTCGCCAACACACATTTCAAGAAAAGCTGCGGAAACTGCACGACAAAGTGGCTATGAAATTGTGCCACATCCAACCTATTCTCCAGATAATTTAGCCCCGTCCAACCTTTTTTTATTCCCCAATCTGAAAAAGGATTTAAAAGGAAGGCATTTTGAAAGTGATGATGAGGTCAAAGAAGAGGTAGAGGGCTGGTTTTCTGACAAAGAGAGGGTTTTCTATTCTCAAGGTCTTTTCAAGGTCATACAGCGATGACAAAAATGTATAACTGTGGGAGGCGACTACATAGAGAAAGATTAAGCTCAGTACATGAGTACCAAATTTAATCTTTCTACCTTTATTCCTTGATGGTCAGGTAAAAAACTTTTGATATGCCCCTCATATGGCAGCAAACATTGTTCAATTTTGTGTTCTGACTCATATAATAAGAGAAAAAGTACTTTCAGTAGATTAACGTTTATATCACAACTCTAACATTATGATGTACATTTTATAAAGACTCAATTACACTTGACACCTTAAAAAAAAGAGACATGGGAGGAAAAAAAACAACCCCACAACAATAAAACCCCAACATTATTATCATGTAACTGCTTTGTTGTTCTAAAACAGATAATGATGGAACCAAGAATTGAGAATGTCAAGAAAGAGAATCCTGTGAAGTACATGTATATGCATCTGTCTGAACCAGTGAGTTCAAATGATTGGGTAGAGGCCGAAGGTGATGAGGAACATTCCAAACAGAGTGGTGCTGATTCATGTTCGTGGGTCAGTACCTACACAGCTGACCAAACTGTTGAGGACAAACGGTGGGTAAATCTATTACATGATGTATTCATATATATCCTCCAGTAGTCCAGTAATCTTTACGTCCGCAACATTTTTATTTTTATGGACCAGGTTTGCATTTTCTAACTCTTGTACTAATCTTATTAGAGGAGGGATTAATTCTCCAACCCAAAACTATGTGTTATTGTCTGCCCTCTCTCTGAAATGTACAATCAAATCTCATTACACTGCCACCCTTGGGACGAGCCTTAAGCTGGCGGTTCAGCTGTCCAATGTCAAAGAACATGATTCTGCTGTGCGAGTCTTTTTGTTGGTGATAAACCTGTACAAAACATGTACATGCACATGTATTCAGAGGTGAGAGTCTTCTCTCTCTCTCTCTGTCTTTATGCTTTCCCGTGGGATAAAGATTATCAAATAGACAACCAGTGGGTGCTGTGCTCCGTTTACAGTGTGTACCTCTGGCGGTCATTTCACTGGCGTTTGTTTTGGGGTTTTTTTTGTAAGTGTTTTACGGCGCTCGCAAATATATAAGGTCATATGAGCGTGTGGGACTCATTAAACTTTTTCAGTTTGAAGGAAATTTTGAATTTTGCCCGGGTGGCGGTCGAAGCCACCAAGGGATCTTTAACGTGCGCAACTTGCACACAAGCCCTCCGAGATTTTTCGTCCTTGTCCGAGAAGGCTAGGTGTAGATCTTTCGTACCAGAAGGTCAGGGATGTGGCTGAAAGACAGTTGTAAGAAAGAGCCAAGGAGTAGCAGTAGAAAGGCTGCAGGAAAGAGTCAGGAGCCCAGAGGAGGGGGCAAAGGAGGTGAGGGGGTGGAGGCAGAAAGAGGAGACGAAAGAAGACGACAGAATATTGCTAGAGAGCAAGAAAGGAGGTGAGAAGAGACAATTTTAGAGAAGAAAATTGTTCGGTCGCTACCCGGATTCGAACCTGGGACCTTTGAATCAGAGGCCAACACCTTAACCTTAAGGCCACGAGAGCCCCCTGGCAGTATGGCGGAGCGAATTTATAATATTAGTTGAATAAGGATCGCACAACTCGGACAGTTGGCAGATGGCAGTGTGAAGGAGTAAATGTTCATAATTATGTTTATATTGGTTGGCCTTTTCGTACATTGGCAAAACCTGGCAGTAAGCAGGGCACTGACAGTATATCGGGGGGGGGAGATACAACGAAGTTTGACTGTACTTGTATTTTGAGCTGAATTTTAATTTGGTAGGGCTGGAAATGTTTTTGTATTGCAATGTTGTTTCAATGTTTTCAGAAAAGTTTCCAGCCTTCTCTACAAATAGAACAGGTGACTGTATTTGTGCCTGTTATGTTTAAATTTCAAGTTAAATATTTCAGGCTTTTTTTTTCCAGAGCCCACTAACAGATTTGAGTCATACTCCCAACTGTTATTACATTCAGCATAATGTTTTGCCAGGCACACACATAGACACGCAGATACACATACTCATTTATAGTTTGTGAGCTTAGATAAGGACTCATACTCCCTTCTTGGAAGGAGAGACTACTTAAAATTACTTAAATGCAAGTAGCTTGAAATCTGGCTCAAAGTTTTACTTTCAGAGTATTTTTCTTTATATTGAACAGATGGATGTATGTATGTGAATGCCTCTTGATTTTTTGTGCGATTTGGCAAGCCTTCATTTTACAAGTTTTAATGCACTTTAACATTAATGTTTATTGATGACAAGTTTCTTTCTTTGTCTTCATGCTCATTTTGAAATGTCTGTGAAATGTAAATCTGAGAGCACATTTGCTACATGAAACTGATTGAATTTGTGTTTTAAACTGAAGTCAAGTAAAACTTCAGAGTCAAAGCTTGACATGAAAAAAATATGAAAGTGGATGGAAAAGATGATAGTTTTGCTTATTGGCACAGGCTATGTTCAATATATGACAATGTTTTTGCTGTCTTTGATGAGTTTTCATGGAAAACTGTTCTTGTGTTTCAGATTACAGCCTTCCATGGAGACAAGATCCAATGTCATAAAGAAAAACTCCAGTAATGCCAACACTGAGTTTACAGTCCCTTCCGATATTTGTGACTTGAACTTTGAAAAGTGTGGGAAAAGTGGGTGCATCATTGTAACAGCAGATTCTGTTCAGCTCTTGAGGGTGGCTTTCGACAAAAGTATTCATGTACAAGTTGTGTTCAATTCTTTGAAAAAAGTTGAGAAGGATGATAATGATGACATGTTTAATGAATGTAAGGGTGAGTCAATAGCGCAGAATCAAAGTGAGGAACCAGTGAGCTCTTCTGTTGTTGAGGATACAGAATTAAAAATTTTACCCACAGATGTGGCAGACACAAACTTGACAAGCAAGTCTAGTACTGATAGTATGAATCAGAAAGTTTCCAGGGAAGAGCTTCAAGGTTCAAACAAGTCTCATGGTAGGAGAGGCAAGAGAGCTAGAAGGAGTTCTGAAAGAGGACTTTCCAAATCCAAGAAGAAACGGAAACAGTCTAAACAAGAGGAGGATGATGCTTGCTACTGTCGTTACTGTGACCTGTCTCTGAGGAACTGGGATGAGTATGTGAAACATTTGCTGAACGAACACCCCAAACGGAAAGAGACGAAGATACTGACTCAGGGCGGGGTTGGGCACAGTAATAAGGAACGCCACAAAGGTGATGATGCTAGTGATTCTGAGATTGACATTCCATCTATTATTAGCCCAAATGTGGAAGAATTTAAATGTAATCAATGTGAAGCCACTTATAAAACTCAATCTGGGTTTGATCGTCACCGCAAATGGCATTCAAAAGAAGAGAGTGGAAAAGATCTTCAAATTGTGGAAAAACAGGAGATAAGAACAGAAGAAATATTTGAAGAGGATGTTGATGATGATGATAGTGATGACTTTGATGAAAAAAGTAAGGATTCTTCAATTAAAAAAACAAATTCACAGACTCCGCGCGTCGATTTTCCTTGTTCTTTCTGTGAGGTGACGCTACCTTCCTACAATGAGCATTTGGAACATTACAGGCTGAAGCATGTAGAGGAGTTCACTTGCAAGTTTTGTAACGAAACTTTCCACTCTATTACAGCTTGTCGCCGACACTCTAAAACTCATGGACCATTTTGCTTTCTTTGCAAGGAAAAGCTTCCTAATCGCATGCATGTAAATTATCATTGGAGGGAAAATCATGTGGGTGAGGTTGACAGCCAGGGCAACAAGATATTTGAGAAGTGTCCAGAATGTATTCTGATCTTTGCCAACAAACGGAAGCTGATAAACCACATGAAACACCATGAGCGTCTCAACCAGAGAGACAAGCATATCTGCCATATTTGTGGCAAAGCTTTACAGAACATCAGTTGTTATGCGGTGCACATGAAAAGCCACAGTGCTGACAAGGGTGTTTCTGACCAAATTCCTTGTGATCAGTGCGGCAAGATGTTCGCAAATGAAATGGGCCTCAACAAGCATCACTCAAATCAGCACAGCGTCAAACCTTATAAGTGTAAAGTTTGCGGTAAGGGTTTCGCCACCACCAAACACTTGTACAGACACGAGAGCCTGCATACAACAGGCAGGCCTTATCAGTGCAGCGTGTGTCAGAAGTGTTTCTCGCAGTCTTACAATTTGACCATCCACATGAGGACCCACACGAAGGAAAAGCCCTTCAGCTGCAGCCATTGTACTCAGCGTTTTAGCCACAAGTGTTCCTTGCAGGGCCATGTGGCGTCAAAGCACAAGTTTGAGACTATGCTAAGTTAGTTTGATTTAGCATTTTTCCTCTCAAATCCTACTTTCTGTGGTTTATTTGTATACGATACAGTAGTGTGGGGTCCAAAACTGCCATTCTTGTTCTTTTTGATAACCTCGCTGTGTTCAATGGGAAGTTAAAGTGGTGTTGATATATATGTATGTATAAATTATATTTATTTATCTGTATATATATCTACACATCTATCTATCTATATACTTTATATATATAAAGAGGGTGTGAGAGATGGACAGACGGACAATGTAAATGATGCCATGCCAGTATTGCTGTCAGTGTATCAAAGAAAAAGATATACTTCATCCAGACATAGTCATTCTGACAAAGGTTTAGAAAGCTGTGAATTTCCTTGCTGCTGTGTGAACTTGACGTCTAATGTGAAACCTCAAGGAAGTACATTTGGGGTGTTCTACCTGGCAATTGAGACTAAAACAAAACAGGAGATGATGAGTTGAAGAATTTGCTGTTCTGGATTTGTACAATAGTCTCTGCCTGTAAGTATACTGATCTTGTTTTTAAGGGATATGAGTGTGTTCAATGGGAAACTATGTCTCATTTGTCATAATTGTTATGACTTCTCATTGGCATCTGTTAATAAAATCAATATGTTGTATGTCGTATCTTTTAATGATTACTTCCTATAAGTTGAAGCAGAAATGAGGTGTGGGTGTGGGTGTGTGTGTGTGTGTGTGTGTGTTCTTTTCCCAGAGGGCCTCTTTAAGTATTCTTTTTGGAAATTATTTTTCAAAAAGGAGGGTCAGAGGTGAGGGGAGGGGTCAGAGATATTCTCTGACTTTTATTCTTTTCCTCCTAGTCCTTCTCCTCCTCCTCCTTTTTCTTCTTCTTTCTCTTCTTTTTCTTCTTCTTTTTCTTCTTCTTCATCTTCTTCTTCTTCTTCTTTTT